CGATATATATCCTTGGTAGTGTGAAAGCAGAGCCAGTCCTTTGACATAAATCCTTTACATGATGTTTTACCCTTCTCTCCTTTGCTAAGGTCAGCTTCCTCTTCCCTTACTTTTATCCCTCGGGATTCCTAGACCTACTGCTAAGTTCTTGGATTTACCAAGAAGCTACTGGTCTCCTTTTTTCTCTCTCTCTCGGAGACAGGGAGACTTTGTGGCTGGAAAATATAAGTGCCTCCTGTGTGAGAAGGAGTTTGTGTCAGAGAGTGGTGTCAAATACCACATCAACTCCGTCCATGCTGAGGTGAGGTTTCTGTTGTATATATGTAGTTTTTGTATTTTGTGACCCTTGGTGTCTGAAGCATGAGAGTCTGTCTTCCTTTGTATGTTCAGAAGAGGCACTGATGTCTTTTAATAAATTGTTATTGATTGCTTTTGTTTTTACCTCACCTACATTTCTTTCTATTCTCCTTCAAGCCAGAGATCCATCCCATATGCCAAAGATTTTTTTTTTTTTTTTTTAGAAAAAAGAAGGAAAAAAATTCGGCAAAACCAATCAGTACATTGGAAAAAGACTGAAAATGTTTACAGTCAGTTGCCGTACCCGTAGACTGCCCACCTCTGCAAAAGAGTGAATGGGGTTTCTACTAATATCTTTTTTTTTTTTAACCATCCTTATTCTTTGTAATTTTGCAATATTTACTTTCAGTTGTTTTATTATACTTCTTTTCATTTACATTGTTGTGGTTATTATGTTGATTTTTTTTTTGGCTCTGCTTACTACACTCGGCATCAGTTCATGCCACCTTTTTCATGTTTTTTTGTATTTGTTACATTCATTGTTTCTCATAGGACAGCAGTATCCCACTACATTTATGTAGCACAATTTTCTTTAGCTGTTCCTCACTTGATGGGCAGCTATTTTATTTCCAGTTTTTTACAACCACAAAAAAATTGATGCTATAAATATTTTGGTGTTTATGGACACTCTTATCGGTGACCCTTGAGGTATATGCTTAGTAGTGGACTCTCTTGGCATTTTAATCACTTTATTTGTATAACTCCAAATTGTTTTCCTAAAAGTTGTGCTGATTTACAATTCCACCAAACATAGCATTAATGTACCTGTCTTCCCATAACCCCTACATCTTTTGTTCTCATCTTTTGTCATCTTTGCCAATTTGTTAGGTGTGATATGAAACTTTGGGATTTTTTTTTTAAATTTGTGTTTCTCTTAATTAGTGGTTTGGATCATTCTTTCATATGGTTATTAATGGTTTGTAATTCTTTTTTTTTTCTTTTCTTTTTTTTTTTGGCAAGGCAGTGGGGTGAAGTGACTTGCCCAGGGTCACACAGCTAGTAAGTGTCTGAGGTCACATTTGAACGTAGGTCTTCCTGAATCCAGGCCAGGCGCTCTATCCACTGCGCCATCTAGCTGCCCCTGCAATTCTATTTTGTTTTGTTTTGTTTTGTTTGTTTTTTGCAAGGCAGTTGTGGTTAAGTGACTTGCCCAGAGTCACACAGCTAGTAAGTGTGAAGTGTCTGAGGCCACATTTGAACTCAGGTCCTTCTGACTGAAGAGCTGGTGCTGTATCCATTCCACCACCTAGCTGCCCCCAAAGTCTTTTTTTTTTTTTTAAGTGATTGTTCGCCTTGGGACCGACAAAACTATTTACCAGATCAGGAGCAGCTCCTAGCAACTTAGTTTCTGTATAGAAAATTTAATCACCTGTCTCCAGCGGCCTCTACCTAGATTCATACTTTTTTTTTAGTTACCATGTGGTAAGAAAATTTTTCTCACCCAATTCTTGTCTCTCTTCTGATCTGTGCTTCTCTTTAGATAGTTGTACCCTTTTCTTGCCTCCCTGGCTTGCCTTCCCCCCAGTACCTGTTTTCTCTGTGTCCCTACATTCCTCCTTCTGTGTCCCCCCACTTGTCTTGAACTGATGACCTTTCTTTGCTGAATCCCTAGGATTGGTTCATGGTAAACACCACAACAACCAAAAGCTTTGAGAAGCTGATGAAGATGCAGCATCAGCAGGAGGAGCAACGGCGGTGGCAGCAGCAGCACAAGAAGAGGATGTCGCCAAGGGCTGGTAGAAAACAGCCACGGCCACCAGAAGCTGTGCTGGACAAGAAGGATTCAGATCGTCGGGGAGGGAAGGGCCTGGCAGGCTCAGCCTCTTGTGAGAACGCTGAGGGAGAGGAGCTGGAGCCAGAGCAAGTGCCCGTGCCAGTGTGCTTCCAGACAGTGAAGCTCTCAAAGACCAGCCATAAACGTGGAAGGAAGTAACAGGCCAGTGCAAGAGCATCTCTGTGTGAAGGGATGGGGCACTGTTGGCCTGGAGGCCCTGGAACTGGGGAGTCCTCTCAACCCCTTTCTCTTTAGTAATTTTCTCAAGTCATTCCTCCTCCTCTTTGGACTTCTGGGCTTCCTCTCTCCAGAATATCCTGTCTCCCCAACTCTTGTACGCCTTAAAGTTCCACTGTCATCTTTACCATGCCGATGTCATCTTCTTTCCCTCAACAAAAGTGGGAAACTCTTGGCTGTTGGATTTTTCCTCCTTGAGGTGAAGTGGTCATAGTTAGAATATTAAAAGCTGAGGTTTAGGGTTTGGGATTAGGAAAATTTTTACCTGCCTTTCCTTCCCCAACTCTTCCACTTGCTACTAAAACCCACCATCTAATCTGTAAAACAATGCAACTGCTCTTCATCACATACAGTTTATAATATTATGCTTCATATATAACTAGTCTAGATGCCTCTATTTGGTGCTGACATCTGTCAGGCATTTCTTTCTGTTAGCCCAGTTACTCCTCCTGGTGGCATGACCTTGATGGGGCAAGATTAGATGTAGGTAGCCCAGTTGAACATGAACTCAGAGTGAGTCAGAAGACTAGTCTTGCACTTTGGGTGTTACTGGGAAATGCTTCTTTTACTAGATTCATAGTCATGAAAAAAATTGGCTCAACAGAAATAGATGAATAGCTGTAAAATGACTAGAAAGGAAAGGGCAACTCAAGCATTATTGTCCAGCGTGAGCTTTCCTGGTGTTTGGGGTCACATCTGTTGCTGAGATCAGCTCCTAAAAGTTTGTTCTGCACTTCCTTAGTTTTAATTGTTAAGCGGCATCTCACTAGGTATACTTGATGTCCTGCTGTTCCTAGTGATGCCATATGTGTCAGCAGCTTAAGTGCACATTTCCTCTCCCTTGGGCTTCTGTTTAGACACAGTGAACTTTAGTAGCCATTCTCCACAGTCTAAACCCTTACCTCTCCCTCCAGTCATTGTGCTGCCTCTTCTCTGAATTCTCCCTGGGTTATTACCCTCTTGCAGAGTGATGACTATGAAAGGGCCCTCTCTTGGGAGTCCCCTTAGTCTAGGAACCTGAGACTTCAGGACTGGATGTAAGTAAGCACTTAGCCAGAGCTGGAAAAAAAGAGACTTTCCCTCTTTACTGTCTCGCATACCCAGCCATCCCTATTAGGATGTTTATTTCTGAGACTGACTTTCTTTGGGATGTCATTTGTATCAGCTTCTCATTATTCTTGGTCTCACCACCTTCTTACCCCAAAATGCAGGTCCCATAGCCTTGCTCCCATTTGTTTCATGTGCTATATAGTACATGAAAAACCTGATCCTTGTCCCTGGCACATGTTGTAAATAGTGGCAAGTGACAAGAATCACTTTTGGATTCTGGAAAACTGTAATTCTTCCAGTTTGCTGTCCTCCAAAAAAAAAAAAAAGACAAAACAGGAGTTTGGAGAGATGTTAAGTTAGCTCTATCAGTTGATCTCACCTCAGAAGAGCACCTCACAAGAAGTGCTGTTTCTAGTAAGTGAGAAGTAAAATCTGGCCTCTCTGCTGCCAGGAGCAGCAGATGAGAAGACACTCCTGTGTTTTTATTTTTTCTTGCACGACTATGCCCTGAAATCCAGGCTGTAAAGTGAATAGGGACTGCCTGGGAGGGACGATGGAAGAGTAATATGCATACATCCTATAAAGTTAAAACTTGGGGTGTAGGTGGTAACATTGAAGGAAATAAACGTCCATTTACTAGAATGATGTCTCTAGCTGTTCTTTGACTCCTGTTTGTTGTTTGACTACTCAGCCAACATTTAACTAAGAAGACCAGCATGCTGGTCAAAATGGTTACCATGATACTGAATCTGAAATAAAAGTGAAAAGATTCTACAACCCTACATTGGGTGCTTTGGGGGCAATTTGTCTTTGCCTTTCCTTGGGCCATAGTATTGAAAATGATTTAAATTATTCTCTTTAAGGCAGATACTTGTCATTTTGAATGTATCTCTCCCTGCTATCTCTCTCCTATCATAAGGTAAGAATTCAGCCTATGCCAGGGAGCAGGAAGAAGTAAACTTATTGTTGACAAAATAATTACTTTAGAATTTAGTTTATTTTCCTAAGTTAATTCCTTAATTTTCCTCAGAGGTAATTCACACCTTGACTTGCCATAGTGGCTATGGCTAAGTTATTGAAGAACAAATATCTAGGTAGAATTATTTTTTAACTAGAAGTATTTTATGTCCTTATTGTCTGGAAATTAACCTAGGCTTGTGAAAAGAAATAATGGGATGAGATGAGTTGCCCATCCATTTGGGAGTTATTTTGACTCCTAGCAAGACAGTCTTCAGAGTGTGTCATGTTCTCCTTCATAATCTACTCTCTTTGTCCAGAACCCATGCATATTCCTTAATGATGGAGAGGAGACTGCAACTCCATCATTATCAGCATGGTGATAACTGGTTATCAATGTCATCCTATTCAGGCCAAATTCATAACAAACTCTTTCAGCCTGGTTTTATAGCTCTGTGCCTTCCACAATTCCAATACCCGTTCTGAGTTTGCATTTGTTTATGTGGATCATGTCTGTATTTGTGCATGTTTATGGGTTTAAGTAAGTACACATATGAGGAACGCCTACCCAGCAATAATAACTAGAGTGGATACCAAACTATGCGTTATAGTTTATTTTTTTTTTTAAGATTGGTCTTAATAATGAAAAAGAATGATGAATTCATCCTAGGTTTACAGCTAGAAATCATAAGAGGGGGGAAAAGGATCTGGAGGTATGAAGTGTAAGCTGATTGCATGCCACCAAAACTTCTATAGCAAGTTGTGGTTTCTGTATAAAGAATGGAGTTTTCTAACTTAGGAAGAGTATGAACTAACCAATTAGTACCATGGGTACTAATGAGGAGACATTGTGGTATGTTGGAAAGCATACTAGATTGGGCCATTAATAAGTAAAACCAGGTCAGTGAATAAATTGTAGTTCACTGGCTTTTATGCAATAATTGGGGGTGCGGGCTAGGAAATGTCTTTTCCGGAATAGAGAACTCCCAGGTGAGAAAACTTCCTATACCAATGCAAGATGATACCTTCTCTGCAATTTACAGTCTTAGATAATTAACTAAGAGCACTGAGACATTATGTGACTTGCCCAGAGCTACACATGCCTCATGGGTAGGACTTAAATGTTTTTTGCTGTCTACAACATGCTGGTACTCTTCATATACAAAAAGAATGCTGATTCCAAGTGTTGATGGCACAGTGATGAAATCTTTAATTTCTTGATCTTTTACACTAGATTCTCCTTACTCATAAAGAACACTCCCAAAATTCAGAAGATAAAACATTTGAACAATTTATTCAATAAGAATTGCGCATATATATATAGTATCTGAACTACTGGGCTTTTGCTGAAAACCACATCATAAAAAGGATTTTACTTTCTCCTTTGAAAAATGTTAGAATTTGAAGATTCTGATCCTGAGCAAGCTATCAAGCATACCATACATATGACTGAAAATATCATGAGCAAAGATAACTACTATAAAACCACAATAATCCAAAACAATAAGACTGTGCTCTTCGTCCTAAAAGATGGGAATATATTCTAAAACATATCTAGATGAGGGCCCCAATACACTATAAATATACATATGATGTAAAAATATTCTATACCAATAAATACATATGATTGAAAATGTTATGAACAAAGATAACTACTATAAAACTACAATAATCTGAAATAGTGAAACTGTGCTCCTATTCCTAAAAAATGAGAATGAGTTTTAACATCTAGATGAGGACCCCAGTATACTATAAATATACATGTGACATGTGAAAATATAATTCTATACCAATGAATACAAAATTCCAAAAATGTTACGAACAAAGATAACTACCATAAAACCACTATAGTCTGAAATAGTAAAATTATGCTCCTAGTCCTAAAAAACGGGAACGTGTTGTAAGACATATCTAGATGAGGGCCCTAATATACTATAAATGTACATATGACACATGAAAATAATTCTATACCAATAAATTGGGCTAAAATTTATCTTATAATAACCTTGAAATTCAGAAGGGTGGAGAGTGAGGGGTGATTTAGAATGGTGCTTTTCTCTTTCAACAGTTGTCCAAGGGAAATCTGAACTAAAACAGCTTCTTTTTCTTTCAAATGTCCCTGTAGAATAGGTATCCTAAATTATTCCACAGACTAGGGTGCCACAATGATGATAATTATTTCTTCCACTGCAAAGCTTTGTTAAAAAGACAAATCCTTACATATATTTTCACCTACCATTCTCAGTTAAATTCAAAGCTAAACCTAAGCTACTTAGTATCAAATCAAAACAATGCTACCAGGAAATAGGCAATTCTGTAAGGTCACTTTCTTGTCCTCTACCAGAGGGCCCCTTGACATATTTACAAGAGTACTTCATGCTTCATTGGAACACCAAGACAAACCAAAAGCAAAAAGGCAATTATTAGGTCCTTGGCACATAAGTTTAATATCCCTTTCCCCTAACCGGAAGTCTCAGATTTGCTTACAGCACTTTGAGGTCTGTACTTCCCTGTTTTTGTTGGAATGGTTCAAACAAATGGGTGTAAAGATCAAGGCAACAAAAATTAGAAATAACAGGTGGGGACCTACCTGTATTTGCTAACCTGAGATTTTGGAATGTCTGTGCTAGCACTGTGCAGCCAACATAAATGGTTGCCATCAAAAAGAAAAGTTTATCCTTTGAAGGAAGATAACATTGAGGCCAAAAGAAAATATGAACACCATAGCTTGACTTCCTCCTCTTCTGGTCCACTGTAGAGAGTGTGTGGTAAGTAGCCAGAGAAGCCCAGTCAGTTAAGTGCCGAGATGCAGGAAGATGTTGAGATGGATTCTATCATCAGAGGATAAGGAGAGAGGGAGGTATAGGTAACTCCAGGAATTAAATATTAAACAGTATTACAGAGGAAGAGCTAAGTGACCTTCTCTACTAATAATTTCAATAAGCTATTATCATGTTATTTTCAACAAAGATTTTACCAAAAAAGGGTTTTTAAATATGAACTTTTCTACTGTTGTGTGTCATCCCTCTTTCTACAGTCTGACAGCCTACTTTATATTCATTTTATTTTTTTTCCCATTTTAAATTATAAGATCCTAGAAGACAGGGATCACTTAAGCTGCTTTGTATAGCAACTAACAACATCTGCTTAGGTGGGCATTTAATAAATATTCTCACTAATTAGGATGAATTCATCCTTGGTTTGGTACCTGGGAAAGGGGCCAGTGTGGTCTTCCCACTGCTTTGTCCTTTCTGGCAGGGAATAGCTCTTAGTAGTTTACAATGCCTCCCTTCTTTGATGCTCTCCAAGCAACACTGCTCTAGTTGGAGCTGCTGTTTCTGCCTTCGAAGCCTAGTCCGTTGGGCCTCTAGCTGTTGGGCTTCTTGAATGAGGTGCACCATTTCCTTATGCAATTGTTTGTTCTCATTTTGCAGTTGCCAGGTGAACTTAAGGATAGATTTGTCTGCCGCATGCTTCAGGACATGGTTGTGCTTTCCCATCATAATTTTCCCCAGCAAAATCTCTACATTGGACAGCTGATGCCTTAGCACTTTCCACTCTTTAACAAGATCTCTTTGTGTACTATGAAGGTGTGCTTTTGCCTCCTTCTGGATTCTTGGTTTTTCCATTTGCAGTGATTTGATATGCTCCTCCTGAGTAATCTGCACTGTCCTCCTAGCATTTAATGCTTGAATCTTCTTTTTCAGTTGGGCTTGAATCTCCTCTTGTCGCAGCAGCTCCTCCCGGAGTGATGATGTATGGAACTCATAACTGGAGATCAGTTCCTGCTTTTGCCACTGGATCTGCTCCAACTGTTGCATCTGTTGATCCCATACCTTAATTGGTGCTATCTGTTTTTTCTTGGTTGGATCAGGTACATATCCCATTAGGAGAGGGCTGTCACCTGAGAATGGTTGGATTTCAGCTTGCATGTGACAATGATCTTCTATGAGCTGCTTCCTCTGGGCTCGTGTTTGCATCAATTCTCTATTCAGCTGGATCATTTCCTGCTCTACCTGTGCCTTTGTAGCCAGCTCTTTCTGCATCTTTTTCTCCAACTCCTCCTGTGACTTTAACAACTGCTGTAGCTTTTTGCTACCCATTAGGTAGCAAACATTACGATTCAGATGCTGACGTATCATTCTAGGACCCTGAGAAAACCTAAGGGGAAAAGCAGCAGAAACACATTATTTGCCCATTACACCTTCATGATTACTTGTGAGCTATTATTATTACCTTGATATCACTTATAATATCTTCCATGATGGTGTGTTATTCTTCGTTGCCTCAAGCCACCAATCTTATTCTTTCACCTCTCCTAAGCAGGTCTCAAAAATTCAGAGGACAATATGAGCTGTTATGTTCAAAAGATACATAGTTTTATTGTATGTTCTCCTTTTATTGACACAGACTGCAACTCCTAATGTGCCTTTATAAATTGTTTTATGAATTGCTGTGGCCAAAAAATTCATCATTTGGTAGCCAACCTCTAGGTAATGAAGCTTTTTGATCTTAGCTAGGTTGGTCTTTGGGTGACAATATTGCCCAACCAATCTACTCTTTCCAGCTTGGTAGTATCTATCACTCCCTTTGGCCTCAGGGTATAGCCAAAACCCAAGGAGGTAGGGGAGGTTACAGAAGAGGTGTACAAAAGTATGCCACTGTTTTGTAAGAATAGATTTAGTAATGGTAAAACTCAGGATGTTCTGAGGCTGACAAGAAAATTTAAGGAGAAAAAGAGTTTTTAAAACCTTATTTGCATTTTTGTCTCCAGCTCCTTATCACAATATCTGATAGGTGCTTAATAAATTCTTGTTGATTAATTGGAGGATTCCTTCTCTGTGGAAGTCCTCTAACAAAGGCTATTTATTATTTTGGGCATGTTATGGAAGGGATTTTTTCCTTTTTTTGGTAAGGCAATTGATGTTAAGTAAACTTGCTTAGAGTCAAACAGCTAATGAGTGTTATGTGCCTGAGGCCTAATTTGAATTCAGGTCCTCCTGACTCCAGGGCCAGTGTTCTATCCACTGCCACCTGGCTGCCCCAGTGTGGAGGGGATTTTTGTCTCACGTGTGGGTTGCACTACAAAGTCTCTGAGGTCCCTTCCAACTCCTTACCTGAGGCAAATTCTCTGTCCGGTGCAGAAGAACTGGGAGAAAAGTTGGGAGAATCTTCTTTTTTTAGCTGTTTACTTTTGCCACCTTTTTGCTAGCTAACCCTCCCTCCTCCCCCTCCTTGGTCTCTGTTTTGGACAGGGTTTTCCTCGTTTGCTCCCTCTGACCCTTTTTGAGCTCACCTGTTACGGGTACTCAAGTGTTGATCCCCAAAGTGCTGGACATTGTGTGCAGGGGTGGTGGGAGTGGAGGCCAGGGAAGGAAATCCACGCGAAAGATAGAGTCTCGCCAATTCCTCCCTGTGGAAACTTCTGGGCACCCAACAAGTGTCGATGTGCAGCCCTACAGGAAGACCAAGGTCCCGTACCCCCTTCTGAACGTTCCCGGGGCCAGAGTACGGAGAACTCTTGTCCTGGTCTGGGGTCTTGGGCACTGTACAGAGGACACAATACTCGCCTTTGCCCAATTCTTTTCTGCCCGCGGCAGGCGCACTGTCGGAGCTCAGGGTGTCATCGCTCTCCTCCCGACAGCTTTCTTCTCTGGAAGACTTTGTACTCTCGTCCAATTCCCAGTCCTTCCCCAATTGGGTCGAGCCCAACTTTTCGCCATTTTTGTAGCCCGGTCTCCCCTCCACCTCTTCACCTGTGCTTTCTTTTTGCTCCTGCTCAAGGATATTCTTATCCACTCGAGCCTCAGAACCTCTTTAAAACCAGTTCCGGGACCAGGGATGGCATCCGAGCTGTGCGACTTTGCTTCAGATTCCACCCCAATCTCAGGTCCCGGTTCAGGCTCCGCCCACTCTCCTGGCCCCGCCTCCGATTCTACTCTACTCTCAAATCCAGTGCTGGTTCCGCCCTTGGCTCCGCCTCCTGGGTCCCTGGCCCTGTCCAGAGCCGCCCGAAGCTCTGATCCCGCCCCACTCTGCATGCCGGCTGTCTGGACCGGACTCAGTCTCATTAAAGTCATTTCCGGCATCGCTCTGCGCAGGCGCTGCCTTACGCCGTGGGAAGATGGATTCCGCCGTGGGAGCTGCGGCTCCAGAGGCGGAGGCCCCTCAGCCCCGGCCCCAGCCCCGACCTCCAGTATGTCTCCTGGTGCTGGGGATGGCGGGGTCTGGGAAGACGACCTTCGTACAGGTGAGGCGCGGAAGCGAGAGGTGGGGAGAGGCTCTTGCTGGAGGGGCCCGGGCTGGGGCTGGCCCGGGGTAGCGGTGGTGGGATGGCGGGACCACTTCCACTACCACCTTCCCTTCTCCTTGTCTCCCGCGCTCTCTCCGCAGAGGCTCACGGGATACCTTCACGGCCTGGGCTCGCCCCCCTACGTGATCAACCTGGACCCTGCGGTGCACGAGGTCCCCTTCCCAGCCAACATCGGTGAGTCGGCGCGAGCACGGGTCCGACATGTCTAGGAGCCCTAAGAAATTGCGGGTGGAGCACTGAATGCCTGTTGAGCTCTTGCCAGCTCGACCACTTTTATACAGTCTCCAGCGTCCCAACCTTGTGCCGTCTTTCTTCCTCCTGTCCGGCTGTTGGCCCAGCTGGGGATGTTATGACGTTATTTGCCAAGATTTGGGAAATTGAAGTGACAAAAGGTTCTATCTCCAACAGTCAGTCAATAAGCATTTATTAAGTGCCTTCTGTGTGCCAGGCACTGTGCTAAGTGCTGGGGATAGAAAAAAAAAAAGGTAAAAGATAAAAAAAAGATAAAAGCTTCTACTCAAAAGGAGCTCACTGTCTTAAGGGGGGAGACAACGTGGAAAAAAATTATGTACAAATAAGCTATGTGTGAGATAAATTTGAAATTGAGGAAGACATTTAACTCAGCAATAGACATTGACATATTCTAAGAGGCTCAAACTTTTCTTAGAGGTGGAAGAAACCTGGGGCAGCCTAGCATATTGAGGGCAATTACTGCTTTCTTTCATGTGTGGAAATACTTAATGCTTATTGATTGATCTAATCCTACAATCAATCAGTGAACCAACATCTGACAACTAAAGCAGTCATTCAGTCTACATGGGAAGCACATGTGCCAGCTATAATATCCCTGAAAAGGCTTCAATCATGATGGCTGCCTGTGATTAGGAGTCTGCCTCTGTCCATAGTGCCTCATTCCATTTTTGTACAGCTTAATTGTTCCCATTTAAATAACTTCAGCATTTTCTAGATGATGATTTACTTTTCCTTCTTTAAATCTGTGACCCTAAATTACTGACTCCTACTGTCACTTAGGCATGTTGTATTTTAGGGCTTCCTGATTCCCAGGCCATAGTTTTATTCTACTTCTCATCCTTTTGGGTCATGTTGTCTTTGATCATAAGATACCTGTAAATTGGAGGGGAATTTTTAAGCCCTGATACTAATTTTAGTTTGTGGCAGTGTTGAAATTTGGACTGAAAGGCTGTTTCATTCTCTGTATCCAAGATTCATTTGTTAAGTAAATGATTTGCAAGAGGAGAGGTAAAGTGGAGTAAGTAGATGGAAGGCCAGCCTTGACTAGGAAGATCTGAATTCAGTGCTCTAGGAAACTCTAATGTGGTTGCAAAGGTGCCAGCCTTCATTTATATAGGGAATTTCCTCATCTGAGAGTTCTCCATACCAATGAAATTACAGGTCCAATCCCTATTTCTGTTCTTATTCTTGTGCTAGGCACCTGGGATAAAAAACAGAATAGTCTCTGTCCTTAAGGAACTTAGGTTCTATTGTATTGTTCTGTGTTCTCCATTCCATTATGTAGCCCCTACCATTTTACACCTTGGCACTTGTGCATATAGCTTTTAAGCTATTTCCAGAGGCAGACTAGTAAAATGAGTCTGCTGTTTCTAAAAAAGAATATTCCTCATGAAATAAAGGCCAAGTGAAAATGAGATCACAATTACTTGAAAATATATCTAATTGTACAAATTTATATGCATTTTAATTTAGAAAAACTTTCTAACTTTTTAAGCGGGATCATGCCTTAAAGTTATTTTTTTCAAGTTCTTCTATCAGAGGTGCTTAATGAAAGGTTCATTCATAATTTGTGTTGATTCTGCTTAGAATGGCTCATATTGCATCTGGAATATTGTAGGCAGCTCTGAGTTCCACCTTTTGAGAAGATCATTGACAGACTGGAGTATATCTAGAGAAGGGCACACTGGATGAGGAGGGGACTTTGGAGACTTTGCTAAATGTGGGTCATTTGAAGGAAGTAGAGATGTTTAGCTTGGGGAAAACTATATCATGTGAAAGAAATATTAGACCTTGGAAGTCAGTA